CAAGGATGGAGATTATGTCTGACTGAAATGTCGCTGACTAGAAGATATATTCTATCATACGCTTAGATGCTGGAAGCTTTTTTTTCTCATAACGCACCCAAGTGTGCTTTTGGAGAGTTGTAATCTGGTTTGCAACCGCAGTTCGCTTTCGGGTAGTTTCCCCGCTATGGTCTGATCAGAGTGCGCAAAATACAGAGTTCCAGTCTCCGAGCAGAAACTGATTTAGGAGAATGGCCGCCAACTCAAAGAAATGAACGTCATTCCTATCTTCGCGGTTATTCAATTCTGTTCATGTTCATGGCTGACAGTTTCGTAGAAATGTTACAGTTGCAATGCAGAGATAGAGTTTTGAGGATGTAGAGATAGGCGGCAGCCTGTACTCATGATAGAAAACAATACGCAAAACGAATTAATGTCACATATGATACATGTCTCTGAAAATGTCAACTTAAAAAACTTAACCAGAGAAGGAAAATGCTAAAACATTGTTGCCAATGCGTAGACAAAGAATTGACAGAAATGAGCTAGAAATTGGTGCTATTTTCGTTTTTGGCGCGAAAATTCAAGATTGCGTTTTTAGCGCAGAAGAGTAGAGATCCTATAGTGACTATAGAAAATAGGTTTTTTAAAGTTTTATATATTTTTTTCTGTAAAAGGAGCACTTTCAAGCAAGACTTTCTTTAAACAAAATTTGTCACGAAAATTTTAATTATAATGTCGTGAATTTGTATATTCTGTACATGGACGGTCTTTTTACAAAACAAAGACTCTAAGACCTTCCACTGAAATCTAATTCAATTCTAACGTAGTCAATTTAAGCTACAGAACATTGATGCGGTAAAACCGAAAAATTAGACGAGACTTACCTGTAGGGTAAAGTTTGATTGAGATTCACCGGGTTACATCCGTGCTGAGGGTTGACAACTATAATTTCTACCGCGTTTAAAACCCCACTTTCTGTTTAACAGCCATATTCAGTCCCTCGAAACCTAAGTTGACGCATGCGCTTGCTATTTCATGTAAGCCCGAAGGCACTGGTAACGAGATAGAATTCGTGTGTTTCAGCCAGTTCGCACTAAACAGTTTTGCCACAGAGAAGAAAAAGAAAAACCACGTTGTACTTCCGTTGTCGCCCCGATTCACATTTCGTCGCTGCTACGTACCTTTTTTAGCTACATCCCAAGTGTTTCATACTCATGTTTCGATTCAATTTACAGTTCCCTCTATTCTTTACACCATCAAAAACTAAAGTAATGAAATAATCGTAAAGATTTACCGTAAATAGATAAATACATTGGTCAGTTCTTTTTTTAATCAGAGATTTTACACCAAAGAAACAATGTAGATATTGTAATTATATAAGATATCAGGAATAAAGAGCTGGTAAACTTGTCCCTCGAAGGGAAGGAGCGAAGACCTGAAAAATTTTAGGTTGTGTCAATTTCTGTGTAAAGTATATCGGAGTGAATCTAAGTGAATATAAAACTCTTTTTATTTGATTAGTTTTAGAGAACGTAATAATTTTATGGGAAAATGGAAACACAGGAGCGTTCCAGAGATGCCCAAATCTAAGAGGAACAAGTTTAATACGTGCAGAAATTTTGCTCAAGAGAAAAAAGAGCAGTTGGCCTCTCTGTGTTCATTGACTGATAAGCCAGTGGTACATGCACAGTTCATCTCGCTGTGGAGTTGGAGGGCGTTGGTTGCTCTTTCGACTCTCGGTTTGTCACGCAATCTTTTCTAGCAAAGGGAGGAGTGACCAGCTTCACAGGCATTGAAGAAGACTTTAAGACAAGTTTAAACTCAGTCAAAGTAGTTTCCCAAACTACATGTGTTTGCCTTGTTATGGACTTTGTAAGCGCAGAGGAAAGCCTCTACTGTCTTTTTTTGAAGAGTTTGTTGCCGTTGAGAAAAATCGGTATCCTCAGAAACCATCAGATCATCATTACTTGTCTTGATAGCCGTATCACGTAAATTATTTTAGTGCAAAACCAACAATTCTCAACGGCGTATTTCAATTGGGGAAGCTTATCTCACCCTCATCCAAGCCACATGCCCGAGCCACCTGAATGAACTGGGTATGCACCGTAAATACATAAAAAAAAATTCATCCTCTATCTGGCAGGTTACCAACAATTTCTGACTCGAAAAAAGCGTAACACTGATCACTTGTCCAGACACACGAAATCCTTCCTAGAATCGTCAGACACTTGTTATAGAGTGCGTACTTTCTTTCCTTTTCTCCCGTTTGTTACCGTTGTCAACAACCTGAATGGGAATTTTTGTCATTGGGTTTTCCGACGCAGCTTTGAGTGACCTTCGTAACGACGAAGAGCGCGTGATAAAGCAAGGTTTCAACCCTTCGCCTTCGCTAGTGCTATTGAATAAATGTCTCTTTGGACGCAGTCTTTTTGGAGAGGTTGGCTGCCTTCGATGCTTATGTTCCATCAACCAGTATGTCGTGACCTGTCCCTTTCCCTTTAACAAGAAAAACAACAAAAGGCAACGTTAAATTCAAACGGGAAAATACATATATAGTGAGGGTTTCAGTGAGGTGATTGACCATTTTACGGCTAACGGTTAACTTCATTCCTTCGTAACTGCAAGAAACATTTTTACGGTGAACATTTTGTAGGAGTATCGGTTAAAGTGGTCGATTTGTACGCGTAACGGCTATTTTTTTTTTGGCCGTTTCACGGCTCATGGTTAACCTCATTGAAACCCTCTCGAGTGTATCTTGATGGCTTCGTAGCTCGCTAACCGCGCCCAACTAGTTTCATAGAGCCATCGGTTCAAATCCCGTCGAGGGCTGAATTCTTTAGACTTTTTTCTGCATATGCTTAATTTGTAGCTCATGTGCGACGAATATTTCTTCATTTGAATTAGTCTCAATGTTTTCTCGTATCATTTTTTATTTAAATAAGGCTGTACCTTTAAGTGCACTTCTCCTCTCTGTCTGATTGTAAACCCTCCAAGTTTTTCAAGAACGTTCTTTGTTGCCTCGCTGATATGTATCATTCCGGCTAAACAAGAAATGGATGAACACAATAAGTCTGGCGGATCTAGTAGTCCATAACGTCCAGAGCGTACAAAGAAATTGAATATAATCAAAAGTGAAATTAAAAAAAAAAACAGTTAGCTGGACTGATGTGCGGGAGGTCGAGGGTTCGAGCCCCGGCCGGACCAACACTCAAGGTCTTAATAATTGAGAAGAATATGCTGCCTTCTTTAACATCAAGGAATGGTTTAGATGTTCTAGTCTTCTCGAGTAGGGACGAATAAATGGAGGTCACGTCTCCTGGTAGGAGACTTTAATTTCCCACGCACGAGATTACTGTGTGATGGATGTACTCCCCTGGGGTGGGATGGGTGGGTTGTTGTCTTGCGTTTTATACATGAGCCTCTGGCTCGGGCAATATGGGTAACCCTGCCCCACGTAAAGACATTAAACTTTAATTACTATTACTATTACTGCATTTTGGCAACAAAATGTCCACGTGGTGAATCTCCATTCACTATTTTCAGGACGAATTAGCATTCGGAAATATCTGTATTTGCAAAGGGAGAAAAACCAAATAAGAGAGAGGAAAACAACAACGGGCTCGAACCCAGATCTTTATGATCCAAAGTCATCGCATATCCCACGGCACATGGATTTTTCTCGCTGTTGCTCCTGCTTGGTGAGTACGGGCACTTTGTTAACCTCCACCCCAATCTTTCCCCTCTCGCAAGGTACTGCTACTATTGCCTTTACCTTCTCCGTTGGACTCCATTCTGGATGCAGTGTTCACCGTGTCGCCAAAGAGACAGTAACGAGGCATAGTGCTCCCAACCACTCCAGCAACAACTGGACCTAAGGACATGAAGTAAATGTAAGTAAATGGAACGAGTATGTTGAAGTATTTCAGAGAAAAAGAAAGAAAACTGTAAGAGGCGAGTGCATAGGACGTAGAATGAAGAAAATCCTTCTCACTCACCACTGTGAATACCAATGCGAAGCTGTAGTTTGTAACCAGGCTTATGACGGACGATAAAATCTTCCTTGACAGAGTCCAACAAGTGCAAAGCCATCCGGGATATTTCACCTGCATGATCGTGCCCATTTTTTATCGGAAGACCGGAAACCACCATATAAGCATCACCAATGGTCTCAACCTGAAAAAAGCGAAAAAATTACACAGCTGACTCTCTAAATCTCGAGTTGACTCTATAATTGGCCAGGAAAACTCAGTCGGACCACCCTCGCAACCAACCAGCTGCTATACTAAAATCAATTTTATTTTGACCTCGTCTTTTCCCGTGCTCAAAAGCAGATTGTTTGTACTGATTTACTTTGAGTTCTTATTGACTCGTTGCAATATATTCCAATGATATAATTGGCTCGTTGTGATATTTGGTTTGGGTCTTGAACACGACCAATCGAGGAAAAGAAGCATAAGAAAATTAAGAGCTACACGTGTACAATTAAGTTTCCATGCACTGTTTTACATCAGCCCGGCGGAGAGGTTTCTATATGCTTCCAGATTTTCAATCAAGTACTAAGCTTACCTTATAAACACGGTACTCGCTTATGATGTCATCAAACAATGTGTAAAGATCATTGAGAAGAGTAACAACCTGAAAAAAAACAACAATTTCCTCTAGTACCATTAATGGAATTAGGCAAATTACACTAATTTGTTAGCAGAACGTCCTCCGTCATTTTCTCTCAAGTCCATCGAAACGTAAAAATTATTTAAGTAGACATTATGTCTATGACAAACAGCAAACAGGAAATTTCGAATTCGCCGGCTGCTTGCAGCCGTTTGTACAAAAAAGAGAACAGGTCGGCTTAATTGAAAAAGAGCGAAATCAGAAGCACTACTTAACGTTTAGTCAATAATGTTACAGTGGAAGTGATAAACGCGATAGGAGAAAATTCAACTCCGAAGAGTAGAAAAGAGGCTAGTGAGTTTGGTAGAACACTTCAAAAGAAATATATTAAGTTTTTTTCGCACTGAATTGAAAAAAACCTGTTAAATTCCAGTGAAAATTGGCTGCTTATCAGATACAAGTAATCAAAACAATTTTCAAAGAATGCTTCCAACATCAAAACGAATTTACAACAGAATTTGAAAGTACCTGAGCAATTGTATTAAAAGAATTATTCGCCTCAAGCCCAGGGAATATTATTGAATTATCCCGAGACGAATTCAACAATATTTATTCCATATTCGGCGAATAATTTTTAAATAATATTAAGAACAGCAATAAGTATTAAAATAGAATAAAACTTTAAATAATACTGGACACACGTACAAGATTGATGAAGACATCATTAGTGTCCTCGATTTGACCTTCTAAAAGTCCACCACTTTATTAGGCTCCCCTATCTTGATAAATGCTGTAAGCAAACAGGTGAATCAAAAACTGTCAGCATACCTGCATTGGTGAACTCTCAGAAGAAAGTTCTGTAAATCCCACGATGTCACTAAAATAGATGGACACTTCGTCAAAGTTTTCTGCCTCGACTTGTTTTCCTTTGATGAGTTGTTCTGCTACTGGTCTAAAAGGAGAACATCATCATGACATATTCAGTACGATCAGGAGAAAATAGGTGGTGGGGTGGGGGTGGGGGGTTCTTGGTCCAAGCTTCGGGATCAAATCGAATTAGGATATAAATGAATAGTCTCCCGAACTGAAGTCTGTTTTCTGAGGCGTCTGCGTGAAAACGAACTTCTATAGGATGTGCTGAGCGAAAGCAATGTAGCAGCAGACGGCGTGAACTTCACCTTGTTGGAGCAAATTCGTACAAAGGTGACTGGTAATTTTTGAAGAAGACTATCCCGCGCGTCAAAGAAAATAAACTTGTGTCTGACTAAAAACAGACGTCCTTCTTAGTCCCATCACGTTATATTGATACAACGACAGCTCCCTTCGTACATCAAACAATTTCTTTATATTGAGTGACATTAGAATCACAACAAATAATACCTTGGAAATATTTTGTAAAGAAGATCTTCTGTTTCTATCTTTGCCTCTATGAGTTGACTTGTTCTTTCAGAAACAATATCCTCAAGATTGTTGGCATAGTTCTCCATCATATAAATCATGCTGTCGAAAATGTTAGTTTTTCTGCAAAAAAAGGAAAGAATTCTTTACACTGTCTGCTAAATATTTCCGAAATCGGTGTCAAATAAGACGATATCAGGTCATAAGTTGACGCTTTTCGTATTCTCGCAAATCTGTCTTCTTAACAAGGAGAAACTACTTATTGGTGATCCTTTGGTATCGAGAAAAAGCGAAATTTGAAGGCTCCGACCAGGAAAATCCGTTTTGAAATCATCTGTTTTAGTTTCGACAGAAATTAATATATTGAGGTTAAAAGCTTTCTAGTTCGTGCGACCACATTTTAATGGAATTTGTCAGCTTTCCCGCGAAAAGTTTGTTAAGATTCTCATTAATTTTCATCCACTCACATTCCTTTAGCGACTAGAATCCTATTTATTCTTTTCTTGATCTCGGTGAAGTCTGGTCTGCTATCTGGGTCTTCTTCCCAACAGTTTTTCATCAGATCTCTAAGTTCTTCCATTTCCTCAATAAAATTATGCACAGTAGGGCGAAATATAGGAACCTCGGGTTCTGTGATTCTCCCTAAAATTTCTTGATAAGAAAAAAAGAATTATTAAAGATATGAAGATGGAAACAAAGGAAAAAAAACACTTGTACGCGAACCAACGTCACTTAACTTTTCCTGACTAATGCGCGTCTGTTTTCTCTCTCGCGCGCACGTTCGCTCTCTCACGCACGGTACCTACTGGTACGTTCTTCACGAGGGCTTGCTAAACAAGATGTAAGATTCCTGATTTTTACAAGATAATATGTTTTTTAAGTGTCTACCTTTTACGCAGAGGTTCCTGTTATTGCTAAATGGTCCTTTCCTGGTGTGAAACTCTTGAAGAATGATAGCAAAGCTGTACACATCGGCCTTCTGAATATTAACATAACTTCGGTCTTTCTTACGAGAAGCACTGTTAGGAAAACTGAAATGTTTCCGGAGTAGCTCCGGCGCTGTCCAAAGCAAATCTGAATGGGACAGATAAAAACAAAAAAATTCGATGTTATTATTTTTGTTTTTGTTGTTGTTTTGGGTTGTTTGGTTTCTCATTCATTATTAAAACCGCGGTTATTTGGTTTAGTTTACCTTCGCTGCCCGTCTTTGCACTCAAATTGCACTTTGATCTCAACATGGTGAGGCCATAATCAGAAATTTTCAGCGTCCACCGACTGTCTATCAAGCAGTTGGAAGATTTTAGGCTACCATGGTATTTGAGATCTGACGAATGAAGATAAGCCATACCCTGACGAGAGAAACATGAAAAAAACGTGATGACAAGCAAACAATTACTTCTGGCGACGTTTTCAAGCTATCCAAGGTTAGTTTACAACTGGACATCGGAACTAAGCATTAGCCGTTATTGTTGTGATAACAGGGACTTTAAGCAAACCACGACGACTACG